CCCCAAAACCCCAAAACCCCAAAACCCCAAAACCCCAAAACCCCATATAAGCTATTATCCATTGAAATCATTATTAAAAATGTTAAGATTCTCAAAGGCAATCGAGATATGTCCCAAATGTAAGGAGACGAAGGAGGACTGTACTGCCCAGCGGAGGAAATTCAACAAGTCAGAATTTGGAGTCAACCTTGTTAGTCATGGACATTACCATAAGTGATACAAGGAGATCTACTCTTTAGAAACAGACAACTTTACGCCTAGCGAAAGTTTACTCGGAGCCGATTACAATGATCTTCTCTATGAAGAGGCAAAGGACGAATCTGAGATTAATAAGAAGTACTATGATGAAGAATATATAGAACATACTGAAAGTGAGTATGATAGTGATTCTGATAATATCCCTCAGGTTGCCTCTCAACCTCCTCCAAAGCCTAAAAAGAAGAAAAAATCTCAACTATCCCAGAATCAGGAAGCTTTTTATGAAGAAGTCTGTTATGATGGTCCCTAACTCATGCTTCACCAAAAAGTTATCAGATACTTACTACTTCAAGGCTTGGAACAAAGTCGAAAGATATCCTCCACTAGAAGAGGCCCTTGATGATCTAAAGACTCTTTTCCACCGCAATAAAAGCCTTGTTAAGAGCATCCAGAGATGTCATAAGGAATATAGAGTTTTCAGCATTGTGATCTAAGCATAAAAGATTTTAAGTAAGCTGATTAGCCTGATACTGGATTTTGGGGGTAGAAAGGAGCTTTTTTGAAACCTGTGCTGGGCCTGAAAGGTCTCAAGGGATTTTGGGGTTTTGGGGTTTTGGGGATTTTAATTCAATTTTTGGGTTGGGATTGGAGAAAAATTAAACATGGGGTGAAATAGGGAGTGGTAATTATTATGCTGGGTTGGAAAGATAAGAATGGGGCATATTTGAATGATTTTACTTGAAGTAGGTAATATATCAGATCCGATTTTGTAGTGTAGAGGTGTGATAGATATTACATCAGAGGTTTGCTCTTCTAGATATGGAGTAATGACCTACTCAAAGTATTTGAGTATAATCTAGGTGGCTGCCAAGGAAATTTGAAAGGTGAAGAGATCCACCAAATCGAGCTCAATGCCTCGCGTGGAGAAAGACTCAAGCAATCCTTCTAAAGACTCCTAAACTCTAAGCCAATCTCTTCATCTTATCTTCCTCTTTAATTTTATTCCAATCACTCTATTCCAATGCATTAATTCAAACATTCTATAATCCAATCCTTCTCTTCAACAATATATCGACTCAGACGTGAAAGTAGTTACCTCAATCTGGACCTCAGACATGTAAGTCTTACATCTCCACGCCCATCTATATCCCCAGCCTGTGCTTTGCTCTAAAATCTTCATTTAGGCACAAGCCTCTTCTTAGTAACACTTTTTGAGATTTTTGAAAAAATATCGGTTTTTAAGGAAATTTTGAGATTTTGGATTTTTTAAAGAAGGTTGAGGATTTTTGGGTGTGGCTGGTTTGGTTGGAAGTGAGGGTCTTTGTGGGTGGGAATTTTGGGAAATAGGGGTTTGAGAGCTTGGGGGTTGGTATAGAATGGTAGTAGTTCTGGTAATGAGGTTTCTAAAATCCCTTAAAATCAGAATTAAAGTTAAAATTATTGGGACTAAAAAATTTGGAATTTGTATGATTTTTAGGAAAATTGTTATACATGGAGAGTCGGAGACTCTTGTGAGAGTAATTTGGTTAAATAATTAGCCATTATCTTTGTTGCTTAATAAAAGAGAAGAAGATGGCATAGTTAGCAATTCAGGAGATATTCCATCTTGAACTTTTCATTGCTAATGATTGATAAATTTAGTTGATTTATTGTTAGAAGGTAATATGCTAAGAATAAATTTGATTGGTTAACTACTTAGCATTATTAGGAGTCTAGGATCTTAATCATATTAACTGTTTATTTTTCTCTTTTCCTCAAAGGGGCAGCAAGGTTGTGGACTATTTTAAGATAACTGATCACTTCAACTTTCGAATTGGTCAGAGTTTTTGTGGTTAATTTATGACTCTAATAAGAACTCGCAGTAATATCCTATCTAGAGACTTGACTTCATGCATTAACGCAGGCTTGATCATTGACGCAGTGGAGGTCTTTGGAGACCAGGTTTGTAAGAGCTCCAGCTACTTCAGAAAAGTGAGTGGCCAAGGTTCATGGTTTAGATACTAGAGGCTAACAACACAGATTATAAGACAGCCATTGATTTGTCAATAAAGTTCATTAGACTCCTCAACAGCTACATTGCAGACAAAGGAACTATGTAATATCAAATTTCTGGTAGAAATTGCCAAATTTTCCTCAACAATTTTTATTCTTACCTAAACTATGCCATGAGTTTAGATAATCCAGCAAGATTTCCTGTCTGAAAATACGGTCTAGGGTAAAAATCTCAGTGCTGTATCTACCTCATATCAAAACTTTTCAGCTGGCTTAGCATTAGGTTTTTTATCTTGAAAGTTGTCCCTCAAAGACTCATTAGGAACCTTATGCAGATGAGGACTTCTTAGGTTATCGACAAGGATTATAATTTATTTTAGCTCATAATTCTCATTGAAGTTTCTTCGGCTATGTTTTAAGAATTCTTGGTTCAGTAATTGACAAGTTATAGGCATAATACGGAAGACCGTGTAGTGTACAGTAGTGTTAGAACTGAAATATTGAGTGATGTTAAGCAAGGAGAGGTATTCAGAATGATAGGCTGGATCCCCACGACTGAGGTTTTACCAGCGGAAAAACATAGTCTAAGTTATCACACACAGGGACAACAACCCAATTCTTTGATTAAGTTTAACGTGAAGTAAGTTATTCAAAAGCTGTTAGATTTTATAGTTTAAAATTTTATTGCTAAATAAATGCATCGTATTTTTTAGAAAATGTTGATGTTTTCTGTGTTTAAAATATTTTTAATTTAAAAACAAGAACAATCCAAATTTGGAAGTTATAAAGTCGGCATAGGCTATCTTAACTCAAGAAACTTTCGATCTCAAATTAGATAGAAATATGCAATAGTGTTGAAATTTATTATAAATCATTTATGGCAAATTTCTAGAAAATACTAATACTTTGAATTTAGAGCTAACTGCTCAAATGCTGGGCAAATACATCTTTTTGGAGTTTCAATGGATTCTGATGAAAAAGAAACCATAATCCCTCCATACTCAGCGTTTATGTGCGTTAAGAAAGAGCAAATGGGAGAAATTGATTACACTGACAAGGTTTTTGGTAAGCTAAATTTCCATTTATATATTCCTATCGTAATTTATGTTCACAAGCTGTAAATATTAGAGATCCAGTGGCATATATTTAGTAATCCCTGTTATAATCCTTGTACTAATAAAGCTAAAGAAGAAGAAAAGAAAGATGAAGACGGAACAGTAACAATAGAGACTGGACATGAGGATAAAGACTCTGAGAAGGAAGGTGACATGGATAAGACAAAGAAGTGGAAGACCGTCCTTGTATTGAACTTAGCCAAAGATGTACTTAATTTTTTGAATTTTAGGGTAACAAGAACATTCAGAATGACATAAAATGTAGTTTTTAAGAAAAACAGGACTCCAATTTTATTGTATCAGATAGTTTTTCAACATCGATAATTCAGCACGGGGTTTTGGGGTTTTGGGGTTTTGGGGG